ATATATATACACACATACATACATACATACATATATATATATGATTAGGTATGTTTTACATATAATAGATGAAAAAATGGATACAATAAAATTCGGGGAGGGAGTGGACAAGCAACTGTAGGAATTAAGAAAGGCTTCATATAGAATATGGTACTTGAGCTCTTGAAGTCTTGAAGGAAAAATGAATTCCAAGAGGAGGAGATAAGAAGAGAGTGAATCCCAACACATGGGAGATAGCCAGTGCCAAGGCATGGAGAAGGGAAGAGAAGGTAGGGAAATCTGTGCCAAGAGGGGCTAGATGTTTTCTGGCATTAAAGTGAATAGCGTACATGTACTTCCTACACATATCCAAATCTCAGAAGAATGAAATCCATCCTTCCGCAAAGACCAATTACCTTCTCAGTCATTTTCACTTCTGAAACATTTTGTGGATTCAAAATTATGTCCCCTCTTCCTTTGGTACATATTTCTTTCTTCTAGTGCAACAGATTTATTTTAATATACCATATGTCCATTGTATTCAGATAGGAGAAATGATTCTGTTCTTTGCCTTAACATTCTTTTCTATGCAGAAGAACCACAAATTTATAAAGTTTGGAAACAAGGACCCTTTTTTCTTCAAACATTGTGTCTACTTCTATACTTATTATCCATCATGATCCAAGATCTATCCCTAAAAAAAGATTTTAACCTAACTTCTCTCAGTATCTATTCTTTGAGTTAACTCATATATGAGATGACTGAGAGATATTGGTGATATATTGGAAAGGATATTGTCTTGAGATTCAAGAGCCCTAATTTCTAATCTCATCCCAGCAATTAACTCACTATGTGACCTGGGGTAGCTATTCTTCCTCTCTGGGTCTCAGTTTCCTGCTCTGTAAAATGAATAGGCAAGTCTAGATAATGTCTAAGGTTCTTCCAACTCTTAACATTCTAACACTGACAGGTAATAACATTAAATGAGGACCCTCTCTGTTCAGGATATTGTGCTGGGCACTACAGAGAAATATTCACGCACACACACACACACACACACACACACACACACACACCCCAAAAAAAGAAAACATTCAATTAACTTAAACTTAACAACCATTTCATAAGTGCAAAGATAAGGGAATAAACTAGAGGCAGGAAGTCCAGTAAGTATATTATTACAATAATCTAGATGATAAGCAGTCCAGGATAAGAAGAGAATAGTTGTCTTTATTACGTGGCAGGTATGAAGATGTAATATAAAATAAAATAAGTTCTATGTCCTCATGAAGCTTGCCCTCTAGTAGGAGAGATGAGACTGAGGCAAAAATAGCTGTAATACAAAACAGGTCATGATAAAATCATATGGGAGGTGCCAAAACATTTTTGGGGAAGGTTCAATGAAGAGGTCAATTCTGATGGGGGTAGGGGGAAGGGATAAAGGAAGGCTTCCTGAAGGAGTACTGGAACTCATTGTTGAAGGAAGGGTTGGATTCCAAAAGGCAAATTTGAGAGCCCCGCCTTACCCCCCCCACACACACACACACCTTAAGCTGTTGAAGAAACTTCCTGTAGTTGAAGAGAATGCACAGCACAAAAATATGGTGACACTGACTGAGGCAGTAAAATGAGGCAGTTAGATTAGAATTGAGATTCTCTGAAGCCTCCCCTGTGGTCCTTGGGCCAATTGACCAATTCAACAACATTAAGTGACTTTCACATGCAAGGCAAAATCCAGAGAGATAGCTGTAGTAAACCCTAGAGTCAGAAGGCTTGACCAATCCAGCCTCAAAGGTTTAATAGATGTATGACCCTGAGTGAGCCACTTAACTTCTGTCTGCCTCCATTTCCACATCTCTAAAATGGAGGTAATAATAAAAAAAAATAAAAAACAACACTCTCCTAGTGTTGTTAAGAGGATAAAATAAAACACATATTGTAAAATGCTTTGCAGACTTTAAAGTGTTTATGTAAATGCTAGATGTTATTATTATCTTTGTGGCTCTAGTAGAAAATATTTATATTTCTGAACCTAAAAAGGACTTCATCCTAAAAAATCATCTTTAAATTATTTGCATGATTCTCCTTGGAGACAGTCAGATATTGTCTTCCTTCCAAAATCATAGCTGTGTCTAGACACACCAACCCATTTGAAAAGAAAGAAGAATGAATAAACCTAGTTAGTAAACTGGTTGTTAGAATTGATCCAAAACTTTTGTCCTCCAAGATAATACTCATTTTTACCAAACTTCAGGGATTTTATGTGTTCTATCTCTCCTGAAATACAATATTAGCATACTTCCTTGCATGTAATAGTATTTTTAAAATGTTAAATGAATCAATAGATTTATTCCACCAATATTTGTTGAGCACCCTACATGCAAGCCACTGAGGAATTTACTAATATAAATAATACATGGTCTCTAATCTTAAGGAAATTACAGTGCAGTTGAAAAAAGACATATATGGAAATTAGCATAGCACATATTAGAATATGGAAGGTACCATTGTGTAAAGAGGACTGGATTCTGAGTCGGAGGAACTGGATTCAAATCTTGTCTCAACATTTACTAGTTGTGTGACTATGCTAATCAGTCTCTGAGCCTCAATTTCCTCATCCGTAAGATGGGGTTGATTATAATACTTATAATGCCTACATCATGTTGTTGTTATGAGGAAAGACTTTTGTAAGCTTTTGAGTTCTATATTGGAACTCAATTGCATTATGAACAGAGGGCTGGCCCAAGAGTGTTGCATTATGAACAGAGAGCTGGCCCAAGTGTCAGGAAGGCTTGAGTTCAAATCTGTCTTATACTCTGGGCAAGTCTGATCTCTCAACATCCCATAACATTTTCTTAAGACTATAAGTTGCATTAACAACTACTGATATGCATTAGTGAAGGGAGTTTTCTCACCAGAAGTTCCCTACGCTGATGAAACCATGAGTCCTAACACACAAAAAAAGAACTATGTTAATAAATGTGACTATTATAAGAAGGCTATGAGGTGCTACAAGATGAATTGAGGGGGAGATCATTTTCATCTGGGGATATCAGTGAAGTTTTCATAGAAGAAATGTTAGTTAAATGGAGACAAAGTGGGTTTTACTTACCACCACTAATAGGACATGAAATTTATGTTGTTTTTTTCCAGGAGGCAGCATGATGCTGTGGAAGCAACACTGGATTTGGAGTCAAAGGACCTGAGTTCAAATCCTGACTCTACCACTTACTACCTGTGTGACCTTGGGCAAATCACTTAAACTTTCTGAACTTTAGTTTTCTTATCTGTCAAATGAGGGGGTTTGACCGGATGGCCTCTGCGGTGCCCTCCAACTTTGGAGCTATGGGCTTATGACTAAGGCTTACTTAACTGATCTATCTAGCTGTGCCTGCCTGTTCCCTCTTTGCATAGCTTGCTGCAATGAGGGGGATAGTCTGTGGCCATCACAGAAGAGAATGAAATTCACATTGCAAGAGAGTGAAGCTAACTTTCCTGCACAATGATTGAGCCCATGACCTTGGTCTTGTCAGTCAATGCTCTGAGACATTATCTATATCCATGAACCCCTAGTAGCAACGAACACCCTGGAAAAGAGGAAGGGAAAAGTCAACTGGTAGTTAAATTCATCAATACCAAATCAATACCAACAGAATCAATGCCAAAAAACCATTTGCATTTTTCACACTAAATCACTTCTTTTGACACGTAGTTACCAACTAAGGTGACCCATTATGTTCTACGTTCCCTGGAAAGTTGGAAATTTTTCTCCCTTATTCCAAAGAAGAAGTTGTGAGTTTATGAGCCAAATGTTTTCTAATGAGGAGTATTCTGGTTTTTTTGCAAATCTGAGCCTTCCTGATGCATCGAGCAATTTCATTACAAATCATTATTCCTGGGAATCACATAAATTGTGGCTGGGTCTGTTCCTGCCCTCATCTTTGGAGTCAAGGGTTGTACCTAGACTTAATTAATGCAAAATTGTTTTGAAGCATTTAGGATTAGACCATGACATTGCTAGAAAACCAAAATAAAGTCATTGCTATCCTCGAGGGCCTCAACAAGCACATAACAGGAAATATGCCATAGGTAGTACTATATCTTTTCTATCTTTTTCTCTATAAAATAAAGAAGTTGCTCTAGAGCAGAGATGTCAAGCTCAAAGCCAGCAGGTCCCAAACCCTACCCAAACAAATTAAACTATAACTGAACAATGTTTAATAAAATAAATAAAAATACAACTTAGATAATGTTAATTTTTGGTTTTCTAAGTCAATATATGGTCTGTAGGGATCCATTTCTGTTTGAGTTTGACACCTCACTGCTCTAGACCATCTCTAAAGTTCTAGAAGCGCTAATCCTCTATGATTCAATTCAAAATACTTGCAAGTATGTCAGAATAATACCAGGCTAAAATTTTTTTTTAAATCCCTGCTTTAACTCTGTTACTAATTTCTATGCTAACTTCAGCAAGGTAGCCTACTTCTCTGGACTTAAGTTTCTTTCTAGAAAATGAAGAGGTTGGACTGAATGATGTCTAAGTGCCCGTCCAGTTCTAAGATTCTAGGCCTATGAATCTCCAAACCCTCTACCCACACACATATAAACACAAACCACTCATGATCCTTGGATGACTTTCAGTTTACTCATGAAAAAGCTTATGTACTTTATTTGCTGTGTATGCGGGTGACATGATTTTCTGTTTCTGTTTTTTTAAAGTGCTCAGTTCAGAGAAAGGAGAAAAAATAATATGATCAGGGAAAAAATTCTTTATGCTTCTTCCTCTTTTCTCCTCTTAGTAAGAAAGAAAGTCATGATAGCTTTGGGGTTGTGGTTGGGATAATGTCCCACGCCTCTGTTTTAAAAAGATCCTTTATTAGAAGAATTCCCCTTTCATTTTTCTAAAAACGATGAATCAATGGACTCATCTAGCTCATTTCCATGAAACTTTGGGCAAGTTTTATTCCTCCCCAGGCAAACTCTGAGCTGCTGAGTAACTCTTTCTTCTTTTTTCATTGCAGTATTCTCAAATGAGGGATGAAGTATTCAAATCAAACTTGGTCTGTGCATTTATCGTGCTTCTCTTTATCACCGCAATCCAAAGTTTGCTTCCTTCTTCAAGGTAAATACACAGAGATGGAATTATGATGAGAAATGTCATTCAAGCAACATGAGGACCCTATGCAGGTTGTTTTGCCAGTTTTCTCTTGTTTCCAGGGGATTTGAATTCAAAATTAGTGGGTCTAGAATTCATTCCAAAATGTTTGGCACTACTATCAGAGTCTGTTCAAATTATATTACTCTGTATCCTTATTCTATTACACAGCCATTGCAAGTCTTTCTCCCCTTCTCAGAGAACGAAGGAAAAAAATAGCATTTGAAATCTTGTGCCACAATTATTTAAAACTGCATTAGACAAACAGACAGTATCAGTGCCTCATCACCATTTGTTTTGCTCATTATCTCTGAAAACATGATGTGGCTCGTCATATTGTATAACATGATGTCTAACTCAGGCAGGTTGGTTTCTGCATTTCATGTTGAGGTATTCATGAGCTGAGCAGAAGAAACAAGGCCAGCACACAAGTCTGAATGATTTGCCAATCCATAAAAAATGTCCTAATCAGGCTGCCTTCCTCACTGGAAGTACATGTCCAATATAAAGGGTGGAGAGCTGTGTATGGAACACAAAAGGGGATCACAATGGCACATAATTATTATTACTTTGTAGGTTATAAGAGAGAATCAAAATGTGGCTTTGATGCTGGTAATCTGGTTTGGAGTCCCAGAAAGATACAGCAACTAACTAGGTGTGTTTATGATGTGGAAAGGAGAGGCATAAGAGATAGAAAACTGCCCTCAAGAGTTATGAAACCAGGCTTCCTGGCTTCTCTTTGACACTTCCTGTCTATGTGATCCTGGAGAAAAGCCTTAACATCTCAGGGCCTCCAAGCACCTCCCCTAAAACTGGAATATTATATTGCACCAGACACAGGGGTGGGGAACCTGCACCAGAATAACAGCTGTTCTCCATTGACAGAGAAAGTGTCTCACTGCAGTGATGAACTCACAGGTGTGTGCTTTCCCCTCACACCCTCCCCCCCCAAAAAAAATGGTCAAGTTATTGAATGAGTAAAAGAAGTTGAGAAAAACAGAGGTTAAATGTCTTGCTCCTAGTCACACAGCTAACATGCATGCACATTAGTTAAGGGAACTGTCCAGAAAAAGAGCATTTATTTTGTTAGTCTGCATATTTGAAGGAGATTGACTGTATTTGAGAAGGCCTGTGGCCACTGTAGAACTCTACAATATGGGAAGCCCTAAAGTAGATGGTCTTCACTTCTATTGGGAGGAATGGGAAAACAAGGGTGGGCTCTAAAAGCAGGTGTCACATGCTTGGGAAACTCCTCAAAGGTACCGGTTATCAGCCCTGAGCCTAAGTATTTTGCTTCCCATACAGTGGTTCTAGTAGTTTAAGAGCAATGGTGAGCAGCCCCTAGCTTGATTTGGTCTTGTACAGGTAGCTAAGTCCATAGAACTAGGGTTGGAAGTCACATAGCCCAACCTCCTCATCTCACAGATGAGGAAACTGAGGCCTAGGAAGGTTTAGTGACTTCCCCGAAGTCATGGTAGGTACCAGAGGTCATACTTAAACACAGAAGCTCAAAATCCAGAGACAGTTATCTATTCATTGTGCCATGTTGTCATTCTTGGCATTTTCTAAGTCTTGCATAGTCTTCCCATAGGTGAAGAAGGGAAGTCTTGGAGAATGAGCTTGAGAGCAGTAAGAGGAAAAGTGTGCCCATCTAGTAAGATATTTAATTGCACAATTCTTCTTAGCTTATTCCAGTAGTGATAGTCTTCTACTTTGGGGAACTAGAGATGTGAACTTATGATTATCTACAAATCTACAGTATGGTGTCCAAACTGATACATCTATTCTGGATTTAGTGCTTATGATTCCTTCTTAAAATGGGATGTCATAGATTGGAATGGGCTTTATCTGATTTTATTTCCTCCTTATCAATGTAATTTTTTAAAGCCTAAATGCAAGCCACAAAATATTTCAAAGTGTTAACTGATAGAAGATATTCTTTTCTACACTATAAGACAATTGAGACAAACAACAGTCGTCTTCTGCTTCTGCACACAGTGAGCACTTAATAAATGCTTGTTGAGTTGCTGAATTGAGTGGAATTTTGTTACTTTGTCCTTGAACCTCAAAATGTCTTAAGGTCCTGACATCTAGGCAGATAAACACCTCAAATGATTAAAAAAAAGCGTGTTACCACACTAATTGATCATGTATTAAACGCCCACAAGATGGCAGGTCCTATGCCATGGTGTTTATTAAGTCACTAAATTTTAGAACAACTTTTTTATCATCAGTGATGGGAAATTTTTGATAGATTTGGGTTGCATATTCAATGGGATTCCATTCTATTTAACTGAACAAACATACACTAAGTACCTTCTGTTTTCATGGGGGGGGGGGGCAAAATTGTCCAATGTGGAAAAAAAACACTGAAGCAGAACTCTAAGCCAATAGCACTTTATTAAAGGATCAATGGCCCCCCAATGAAATGTCCCTCAGATCCTCACAATCTGAGATGCCTCCTTTTCCCAGGGCCTTAATACTCAGACACTCAGAGAAGGCAAAAAAACCAAAAACAAAACAAGGTCTCATTGGTTGATAGACCTTGATTTTGGCCCTCCAGGAAGGCCAGAAATGACGCATCAGCATGGATGGGCAAGGCAAGGGTCATCTCCACTAAGTGGTCATAAGATGAGCCCCTCTTCATGTTGGACAAGAGAGGATGGTCCAGAGGTTCAAAAATAAGTTGGAGAACTTTCCGTATCATGTTAGAACACCCCACCCATGAGGGGTTTGGTCATCAGCATCCTTGTGGTTAGGCAAGTAAACTTTATAACTAGTAGTTCACAGCTCTGGGGCCCTAATATACAGAATTTGTAATCACTACCTCTATGTAATCATACCAAACTGATTAATATTGATTGGAATATAATAGGGGTCTAATTAATCATTTATCAAACATGTTGCTAGAGAGAAATAGAGGAAATGGAAAGGAAATAGTTCAAGTCATCAAGGATTTATAGTCTACTGGATGTAACATACATACACACACACACATACACACACACACACACACACACACACACACACACACACAAACTTAATTTGAGAAGTGGGGAAAGATCATGAAAGGCTTCCCATAGGAGGGAAGCAGCAACTGAACTAATCAAATTGAGAGTTAGAAAAGATGTCAGCAGCTATCTAGTCCCACCCATGTGTGTGTGTGTGTGTGTGTGTGTGTGTGTATGTGTGTGTGAGAAGAGAGAGAGAGAGAGAGAGAGAGAGAGAGAGAGAGAGAGAGAGAGAGAGAGAGGAAGAAGAAGAAGAGAAGGATGGAATTAAGGAAAAGAAAGAAAGATGGAAAGAAAGAAAGAGAAAGAAGGAAGGAAGAAAGAAAGAAAGAAAGAAAGAAAGAAAGAAAGAAAGAGAAAGAAAGAAAGAAAGAGAAAGAAAGAAAGAAAGAAAGAAGAAAGAAAGAAAACCTGACTATAAGAGACTGTCACTGGAAGATAGATCCTCCAAATTCTGCTTAAAGACCTCCAAGGTGGAGAAGCTCACCACTGCTTGAAGGAGCTCATTCCTTTTCTGTACATCCCTAATTGAAAGGAAGCTTTTTTTTCCTGGCATCAAGCCTCATTTCCTTCTCAATACTTCCAGTTTTACCCTCTAGGGCCAAATAAAATGAGTCTTATCCCATCTTCACATGAAGCCCTTCCAAATATTGAAGATATTTATCTTGTCTCCATCTAGTGGTCTTCTTTCATTCACACTAAACACAGCTTTTCAACTGAGGGTCATTCACTACTTTGGTTGCCCACTCTGGACACTGACCGTTTTGTCAATATCCTTCTTAAATCTTGATGCCAAAAAGCTGAACACAATATTCCAGTTGAGGTCTAAAGAAGGCATAGCACAGAAGGGCTATCACCTGCCTATTCCTGGAGGCTATGGCAAATCACTTACCCTCTCTGGATCTCAGACCCCTCATCTGTAACTTCAAGAGTTGACCCAAATGACTTCTAAAGGACCTTCTAACTCTAGAACTTTGATACTCTGATCCTATAGATACCACTAGCCGTAGTTAGCAATCATTTCTGCTGATTCTTGCGGTACCCATCTGGGCCAGCGGTCTTGACCTCATCAAGGGAAACTGGATACTGTCTTCTCAGAGATGTCAAACTCACCACCACAGCAAAACTCCTAGGTGCAACCAACCAGATTAAAATGTAATTAGGAAATATTTAACAAAATAAATAAAAATACAATACAATATAGGTAATGTTAATTTGTGGTTTTTCTATGTCAAAAAAAAAAAAGAAAAGAAAGCCTGCAGGGATCTACCTCTGAATCTGGCACAGCTGCTATCTTGTTATCTCCCTACTTCTTCTGGGTACTAACTCCCTGTTTGTCATTTTTTCCCATTATCTCCAGTGCAAAAGACATTCTTGGCAGAAAAACAAATACAAAAGAAGAATCAAGCATCTCAGCCTTCTCTCTCATCAGCTATCATTGCCCCCTTACCCCAAGCACTGCTCCTGTCCCTTCTTCAATCCTTCTTTTTCTCCCAACATAGCTTTAAAAAAAAAATAAACCTTGGCAGTGCTTATCAAAGTGCCTGGCACACAGTAGGCTCTTAATAAATGTTTATTGATTAATTGACAGCCTCAGCTCATTTTGTTGTTGTAACATTCCTGGCAATAGTTTTACAGACCTATGTCATGCTCTTATAGTAATCGTATCAGTTTTCATTTTATGGTCTAGATTGGTTGTCACTGTGCATCCATATCAATCACTTCAGACAAAATTCCATTCCCTGACACCTCCCGACCCCATCCCATTGGGATTGCTTACCTTTGTATCTTCAAAGATTTCATTCTTCATAATATCCCCCACCACCTGGGTTGACTTCCCTTGTAGCACTTTACTCCATGGCAGCTTACCTGCCTTTCCTCTGAACTCTTCAAAATTGAATTTCCCCAAATCTAGGTTTCATGATAGACTATTCTTCCGTTCCATCTCTTTTTTCA